TTTTCTTCATCGATATCTTGCTTACCTTTTGCTAGACTTATTTCTAATTCATTTTCAGTAATATTGTAAATAGTATCTTTTTATAAATTTCATTTTCATTGCTGCTGCCCTTCAGATCTGCTATTATCTTTGATTTCTAACTTTACTGAGATACAATTCACAAACCATAACATTTACCTAAAATATACAATATAATGATTTTAGTATTTTCACAGTGTTGTGCCATTATTACCATAATCAATTTTAGAATTTTTCATAATTCTAAAGAGAAACTTCATATCCATTGTCATTCCTTTCCCATTTTCCCCCAACAGTCACTCTTCCTTTCCTGACATCTACTGATCTACTTCTATATCTACAGATTTGGCTATTTTGGACATAGCAGGTAAAGGGGATCACAGAGTATATGATGCTGGCTGGGCGCAGTGGCTCACGCCTGTAATCCCAGCACTTTGGGAGGCTAAGGAGGGCGGATCACCTGAGGCGAGGAGTTTGAGATCTGCCTGGTCAACATGGTGAAACCCCGTCTCTACTAAAAATACAAAAAATCAGCCTGACATGGTGGTGCACACCTGTAAACCCAGGTACTTGGGAAGCTGAAGCAGGAGAATTGCTTGAGTGTGGGAGGTGGGGGCTGCAGTGAGCCAAGATCGCACCACTGCACTCCAGCCTGAGTGACAGAGACCCCATCTTAAAAAATAAAAAAAGAAAAAAATTAATCATCAGTTATTATTCATATTGATTTGTCACCCTTCTTTTAGTGAAGTCTCCTGCTTTTTATTTTCAAGATTTTCAAAGGTCTAAGTAAAACTGGCCCCTAACCCTCAATAACTACAAGGGGATAGATTTTTTTAAAGTTTTGTATATAGTCAAGTTTTGTGGATGTTACTGGTCACTGACTCTTCTCTTACGAGGTAAACAACTTATCTCCCTTTCTTACTTGAGCAATATGACTGAAACTAATGAAATATCTAAGTACATTATACTCAAAGAGGAGGAACATATTTCGTATTTTGTAGCATATTTCGTATTTTATAGGATTTTTTATTTTATTTTGTATTTTTTCTTCTTAATGCTTAGTTTTCTCAAGCTTTTTACTAAATGACACTTTTGAGTTTGAGAGTTTACTCTTTATTTCTAGATGTCAGAATTTCAGTGGTTTTTCTAAAAACCATCAGTTCTACTGCTTACTCTGTGATTAATTATTTTCTCTAGGCCTCAGGATCATTCAGCTCAGCAAACAAATACCACTGGAAGCAATGTTACTACATCATCAGCTCCTGATAGTAACACCACATCTGGTTCTGCTAACAGCAACCCTTTTGCTTTAGGTAAGTGTCTTCAGTCATTCCAATAGGGATGGGAAAAAAATACTCCTTTCCCTTCCTGGGTAGTTTCAGATAAAATGAGTAAATAAAACATTATGTCACTTTGACAATAAACATTTTTTTAAAAAACTTACATAATCCTATAATTACAGATATTAAGGAAGTGATTGGGGATATAAATGTTCTGGGTTAGCTTACATTTAACAAGTAGTCAATAATTGGCACATTTCTTTTTAATAATGAAAAAGATGTAGTGTATGTATACCTGATCGGACTACTACATAATTTAGTATGGGTAAGATTAGCAATTGTTCATCATAAGCCAGCACCCCTGAATAATAATTTTCTCATTTGTAAAACAAACGAATTGGACTGCATTCATCATTTTGTAACTGTCCTGAACACATAGAAAGGCTGGGGCCTGGGAAGCCAGCCCAGCCTAAAACTGCTTTTGCATTTCTTATATTAGTTTTTTTGTTTGTTGTTTTGTTTGTTTGTTTGTTTGAAGAGACGCAGAATCTTGCTCAGTTAATGAGGCCAGAGTGCAGTGTTGCCATCATAGCTCACTGCAACCTCAAACTCCTGGCTTATGGGATCCTCCTGCCTTGATATCCCAAAATGCTGGGGTTACAGATGTGAGCCACTGTGCCTGGCCTATATTAGATGTATATATTGAGGTTCTGTGGAAGATTCTGTTGAGAATAAAAGTATTCTGAAGTTTAACCTAAGTTGAAGTAAATAGATTAATGACTTAATGCCTCTTTTGATTCTTGTATGACGAGTATAGCACCTTGAAATAGCATATTTTATGTGCAGTTTTTACATATCAAGGATCATACTTTTTATCCCTCCCATAAGATTAATTCATTTGTGCTGTGCCAAATATATGTTAGAGGCATTTAAGGCATGGCATGGCTTGACATAGGTTCACATTCATTTTGTTTTAAATGTTTCCTGCCCTTATTTTCTTTTTCTTTTTTTTTTTTTTTTTTTTTTTTTTTTGAGACGGAGTTTCGCTCTTGTTACCCAGGCTGGAGTGCAATGGCACGATCTCGGCTCACCGCAACCTCCGCCTCCTGGGTTCAGGCAATTCTCCTGCCTCAGCCTCCTGAGTAGCTGGGATTACAGGCATGTGCCACCATGCCCAGCTAATTTTTTGTATTTTTAGTAGAGACGGGGTTTCACTATGCTGACCGGGATGGTCTCGATCTCTTGACCTTGTGATCCACCCGCCTCGGCCTCCCAAAGTGCTGGGATTACAGGCTTGAGCCACCGCACCCGGCCTCCTGCCCTTATTTTCTAAAAGGATCTTGTGTTAAGTCTTTTGATTGAGGCAGGTGTGTTTTACTTGTGGAAAATTTTTTATATGAACAGTCTAGAGAGATTAGGATGAAATTATTTAGTGTTTAAATCTATGAAAGGTATTGTTGAGTTAATTCTCTACTGTCTTCCTTCATATTATAGGCAGAGATCTGGAATCAATGTCTGTGAGGCTCCTTTTATGTGAATATCTGCCCCAACCCAGCCATCTTTGTAGATGACTTGCCTCCCATCTACTAAATATGGAAGTGCCCGTGTGCATTACGCTGCTCATCACTAGGCTCTGTTTAACCCCTGTGGAAATGGGCAGCTTTATACAGGAGCACTATCATTTCTGTTTGAGACTTACAGTGCATGCTGTCCTGAATCTGGGGGTGATCTGGACTTGAGTGACTATAGCAATGCATGCAGGAAGCTGTGCCTCGCTAGGGACGGGGTTTCCAGGGTACCATGTGCCTCTCAGTACAACAGTTCTTGCAGCAGACCGGACCTAAAACCAGACGAATATTCAGCCTCTGGGTTGCCCCTTAGGAACCGCTGGGAAGCACCAAGACAACCAGGACCAGCAGGTGGCAGTCTTTGGAAAGCAAAGAAATGTGGAATTCCGCTCTTAGGGGCACCTCTGAAGTTCTGCTGTCCTGGAAGCATGCACAGGGTTTCACTGACACTGGTGTGCTGGGTATCTTTCATTGGTCCCTCCAGATACAGTCTCCACCATTCTCTTCCCTGCTCTGAGCCCAGGAAATTGACATGCGTGGGCATCTACGGATTCCCTAGCTCTCTACCTCCTAATTGGGTGCGGCAGGAGATCACAGGGCAAGAGGAGCGGAGGGAAGGTTTTTTATTCTCCTGATTACTTTTCTGCTGGGTCAACAAGGAATGTCTATCTCTCTTCCAAAGGCTACAGTCCTATCAGACACTTCTTTCTATATGATCTATTCTGTCTGTCTCTCTCTTCTTCCATTCTCTTCCCTTCCCATATAAAGGCTTCCTCTCATCAACCCTTTCTATTTAAGAATGAAAACACTTCTCGGTTACCCAGAGGTAGACTCTGATCCTAGCTGCTTTTTCTGACCCTATCTACGTCTCTACAAATAGTCCCTTTGTTAAATCCTGTTCACCTGCCCTGATGTGAATGTGCTGGTTCCTGCCACCACCCAGAGCAGCACAGCGAGTTTAAGATCTTTGGACATGTCTCAGGAAGGAAATCCAAGGAGAAGAACCAAATTTTCTGCTAATCATTCTGATTTAAACATTGAAAGAAATATGAGCTTTTTTTTCATACTGAAGCTAGTGAAGCAGGGCACGAGTTAGAGCATTTGCATACACATTTATTCTTCTTATCAAGCTTGAGAATGCCTAGAGAGTAATCTTTTAAATGAATATTAATATTATATTAACAAGCACATGGTAGATGTTCAAGAAATGTGTATTGACCATAACTGAACTGTAAAATCTGTCTCTCCAAGCCTCAATTTCTTCATCTATATAACCCCACCCCCCGCCCCGACACACACACACCAGATTGAAATCTCGCCTACTCAGACTAAGTAAATGAAAAACAAAGCCAGTGCAGGGGTAATTGAACTATTTGTTAGATAAATGCTTTTATGTCACTTTTATTGTTTTCTAGGACGCAGAGTAATACCTACGACCTTGGTTAACAAAAGACCAAAGGAGGTGATGCCAAATGTGGTTAGAAGTGCTTTTAATCAAATAGTTCAATCGACACATAATTAACATTCGTTTTAAAGCAAATGGGTACTTTAAAGGGGTGCTCCTTCCTTTTAAAGTCCCAACAAGAGCTGGATGTAATAGCAGAGTCCCACAGCCATGAAATACGCCGCTATGGTCAACCCTCAAACCCAAGTTTCACACCAAAAGATGGCCGCCATATGGTATTGTGACAAAAGGCCAGGTTACAAAACGCTGTGTACGGCCTGATCCCAATTTTACAAAATATTCATATCCATCTATCTACGCTGGCTGGGGAGGGAAAGGGGTATCGTTTTAGGAAGAGCTGCTTATTGCTGCCTGGTGTGGGAAAGTATGAGTCTTATTTTCTGTTTATTCTTTTTATAAGAACATTTTTATAAATGAGTGAATGAACGAATGCTTTCCATGGGTGGAAGAGGATCCAGTCTGCCAGGGTGAGGCTCCTCTGCAACCAAGAGGGGCCAGGGCCGGAGGACGACCGCGGACAGGGCTTTGGGCGGCTCCCTCCAGCCCCTGAGACGCGGGCACCAGACGCGGCGCGCGCCCCGCTTCCGGGAACAGAAAACGGGGAGGCGAAGAGACGGCAGAGAAAGGGGAGGAGCAGGAGAGAGAGGCGGGGAGGACGAGAAAGGGAGGCGGAAGGCGCTGAAAAGGCGTGCGGGGAAACGGGGAGGGTGCAGAGGGCCACAGCCCTGACTGGCCCGGCCGGGACGGGAGCGGCTCCGCCTCTGGGGCCCCGGGAAGGCGACGGGAAAGAGCTGGGCTCCGGCCATGGCGGCGCCGGGCGCGCTGCTGGTCATGGGCGTGAGCGGCTCGGGGAAGTAGGTCCAGGAGACGGCGGGGGGCGCCCGGGAGAGGGGTTGCGAGCGCCGCGGTCCCTGGCGGTGGAATGGGGTCCTGGCGACCCCCCGACCCTTACCTTGGCAGATGAAAGCACTGAGGCCTGCGGCTGCCGTGTACTCCCCCGCCCTCCAGACTGCTCGCGGGGCGCCCAGCCTGGGACGGCATCCGAGCCTTGGGTTCCGGTTCTAAGACCGGGAGGCCGCGGCGACCGCAGGCTCGTGGGGGGAAGCCGCTCGTGAAGAGGCGGCTGCAGGGCCGCGCAGGTGGAGGCCTCGCGGGCGGCGCAGGGCTGAGTCTCCGGGCGCCTTGTCTGGGCCAGGCGGGAGGGCGCACGGCCTCCAGCGAGAGGACGAAAACCACGGCCCAGGCTCTCGCAGACCTTTGGCCATCGGGACATACAACGGCCTCCGCCTTTGAGGCCCTGGACTCCTGCGATTCGATTTTGGAAAGTGAATCGTTTTCCCCTTCCTTTGATCAGTGTTTGTCAGCTTAACGTGGAAGGACACTGCGTTAATATGGAGGGTGGCTCCTGAGAGTTTGGAAAGGAAGGAGAGAATTGTGGAAACCACACAGGTACTCTCCAGCCCAGTGTGGCTAACTTGGAGACTGAGGAGTTAACATTTGTTTTCCTGATTAAACCAAAGTCCAGCTGTGCCCTTTATCAGAAAAGACAGCTACGGCAGCATTCGACCACAGGCGGCAAAGGACAGAACTTGATCAACTAAAACATCACAACCTTCAAGGGCCTATAGGACCCTTCGAGAATTTTAAATCAGGAACGCCCCATGTAGTGGCCTGTGTAGTCAGGTGTATATTAAAGACTTACTCCAGGTAGATGGGTTTTGCTTTCCAAAATTATTTTAGGGTTCTTGGCCACAAATCTTGAACTGAAATTGAAATAAAACAAGGAACCCCCAAATCGCTAGCTGCTGTATGATTTGGATCAGTTGGAGAATGTAAAATCATTGCCATGGTGTGATGTAACAGGAGTGAAGAGCCCTAGGTCTTGATTCTGTTGCTGTCTGGTTGTGTGAGCTTGGGCAATTCATGTACCCCTCTGAGTCTTGGATCAGATAAGGGGGGTCTAATCCCTATGGTATATAGCTTGGGATATTCGTGTACTTAGTAATTATTGAACTCAGTCCTTACTCGGTGTCATTGTCATATAGTGAGCAGGACAGATACAATCCCTGCCCTCAAAGGATTTACATTCTTATATGTGAGGCAGAGTAAATGAATTAATATATATGTAGTGTAGGAGTTGGTGATAGGTGCCCTGGAGTAAGTAGAACAAAGAGTGCCAGGTAGAGTGGTCAGGGAAGGCTCCTCTGGGGGAGTGGTATATGAGCAAAGACCTGCAAGATTTAAGGAATCAGCCATGTGGATAGCTAAGAAAAAGGCAGGAGACGCAAAGGGCATGGCAGGTGCAAAGGTCCTGAGGCTTGGCTTTTTTTTTTTTTTTTTTTTTTTTTTTGAGATGGAATTCACTTCTGTTGCCCAGGCTGGAGTGCAGTGATATGATCTTGGCTCACTGCAACCTCCACCTCCCAGGTTCAAGCGATTCTCCTGCGTCAGCCTCCTGAATAGCTGAGATTACAGGTGCCCACAAACACACCTAACTAATTTTTTGTGTTTTTAGTAGAGATGGTGTTTCACCATGTTGGCTAGGCTGGTCTCGAACTCCTGACCTCAGGTCACCCACCTGTCTCGGCCTCCCAAAGTGCAGGGATTACTGGAGTGAGCCACCTCGCCTAGCCAAGGCTTGGCTTCTTTAAGGAACAGCAAGGAAGCCATTGTGGCTAAGAGAAAGCATGATGGGAGATGAAGTCAAAAACAATGCAGGTGAAGAGATGTGGTCATACGCTGGAGATATTTTGAAGGTAGAGTCAGAAAGATGTGTTTGTGGACTAGATGTGGGATTTGAGAAGGCGAGAGAGGAGTCAAGGATGATTCAAGATTTTAGGCCTGGGTAATTGGAAGGAGGGAGTTACCACAAACTGAGAAGGGATAGAGCAGATTTGGAAGACAACATCAGAAGTCCAGTGTGGGATATGGTGAGTTGGACGAGCCGATCAGTCACCAAGTGGATAGTGGTTGGATGTCCAAGTCTGAACAGAGGAGAGGGACTTTAGATCTAACTGTGGGAATCATTGGTATGTGAGTGTACTTAAAGACCTAAGGTGTTGGGATCACCAAAGGCGTGCATGCAGATAAAGAAGCTGGCCAAGAGCTGAACCCTGGAGCCCTCTGGTGGCTTAGGGTCAGGAAGATGTGTCCAATGTTGTTGACTAGCTGAGTAACAAAAAGACTGAGACTTGATTATATTCATCATTGAATATAGCAACATCAGGTTCTTTTGTAAACCTGGGTCTGACCAGTATTTTTGGACTCGGCACTGTGCATTATTTCTGCCAGGGTTTGGTGCATATTGAGTCCAGCTGTTTTCTGGTTTAGACAGACAGTGGTTTTTCTTTTCCCATCTTCTTCCTGACAGTCCACACCTACATCAGTTTAGCTCTACTTTCAAATGAGTGCTAGCTGGCATGTTGATTCATGGCTAATCTAACTGGGTCTCTTTTTTTTTTTTTTTTTTTTTTTTGAGACAGACTCTCACTCTGTCACCCAGGCTGGAGTACAGTGGTACGATCTTGGCTCACTGCAACCTCTGCCTCCTGGGTTCAAGTGATTCTCATGCCTCGGCCTCAGGAGTAGCTGGAATTACAGGTGTGCATCTCCATGCACAGCTAAGTTTTGTATTTTTAGTAGAGGCAGGATTTTGCCATAATGGCCGAGCTGGTCCCAAACTCCTTGCCTCAAGTGATCCGCCTGCCCCAGCCTCCCAAACTGCTGGGATTACAGGTGTGAGCCACTGCCCAACCTAAATTGGTCTTAAGTGTGATTTCCGCTATGCACAGCTCTGGCTTCACCAGCCTTGGAGTGTGGCCGGATGGTTTATTCATCCGTAGGCTACATGTCTCTCTGCACAGCCTACAATAGAGTGAACATACGGAAAAGGTTTCAGTGCTCTCTTAATCCTTTGGTTACATCAAGGAGCAGATCTCAATTTGATACAAGTAAGTCTAACACCCTCACTGATAGCTTTTTAATGAAAGAAAGAGGATCTTTGTTAGACAACAGTATCCAGCTAGAATTTAATCACATTGTTCTGTTTTCATTATATACAGGTTTTCAGGTACCTTCTATTCAAGGCAAGTGATGATGGCTTCTTGTGTAAGGGAATGAAAGTTTCCATTTAATTTTTTTAAGATGAAGCAATTAAATAAAAACATCAAAATGTTGAGGTGTGCAAAATTTAAGAGGGCATGATAAAATAGTATGGGGATAGGTACAAATTATGAAGATGATGCTTTAGTAATTGGCTTTTGGGCAGCACTTTAAAAATTGAAAGCAAGAAAGCACTTTATGGATCATTGTCTGCTGGCCTCTACCCCTATCCTGTGGTACTAGACTGTGTAACTCAGAATGGCTGAGACCATATTTTAGTGAGCTCACCATTGCATCCTGGGAACTGGTAGGTGCTCAATAAAGATCAGCTGAATGAAATGTAGGTGGATGGATAAATCATGTGGCTCAGATCCCTTGTTTTGCAGGTGAGAAAACCGAAGTTTAAAGGAACAGGTGACTTGACTGAGATCGCTCAGTCATTTAGTGGCAGAAGGCACTAAATGACTCCAGTACTGAGACCAGAGTCCCTTTCACTAGCACGTGCTGCCTGGTGGATGATAAAGAGATAGTTACCAAATGCTCTGCACAAAGAACATTTCACTCCCAGTCTTAACAAGTGCCAGTGATCCTTGAAACATTGACCCATATCCCTTATTTAGGAGCATGTCTCTTTTAAACTCCAAAAATGTTTTTATACTTTTATCAGTTTCCTGAACTTTACATGGGTGCTGCTAGAGATTAAATCCTCCATCAGACCCCTCCATCCAATATTCTCAACAGAATTTTAACACTTTATTAATTCAGCATGCCCCGCCCCCTACAAAAAAAAAATCCACACACAGGGACCAAAAACTGATTATTGAAGAAAAAACTTTAGGGGTTTAATGAGATCTTATATATTGCCTTTTGAGAAAGAAACAGTGTTAACTAATTATTTCTTCATTGACATTCCCGGGGATCAGCTGAGGCCAATCTCTAGCTTCCACAGTCAAGGGCATCACTGCTTTAGGATTACACGGTGATTGTTGTTTAAATTCTCGCGATAGCCGCCATGCCTTTCCCAGACATCCTTGCACGGCAGGAAGCTCCATACATTGGGCAGGGAGTAATGGGAACATCTGTGTCCTCTCCACAGATCCACCGTGGGCGCTCTGCTGGCATCTGAGGTTAGTAACCGGTCCTAATGCCTTCCAAGTGTGTGTCCCATCGTGTCCTGGTCTCCTTGCATCTCTGCCTTTCTTCCGGCCTATCGTGGTTTATACAGACACTTCCACTATGGCTTTGAATCCCCCTGGAGCAATTTCATTTTTGGTGATTACAAACAGTGAGCAGGAGGCTGTGGCAGCCCACTCACAGGGGTTGTAAAATGGCATGACACGGTGCTTCCCTCCTGGGGGTTGTCCTTGGGGCTGATGGGAACTAGGCGGGTAGTATTGTTTCTACACCTGCCTGTTATTAACCCCACGATGACTGTTACATTGGCCCATCTGCCTGCCACATACACCCTTTCTCTTTGTTCTTAAAGCTGGGGTGGAAATTCTATGATGCTGATGACTATCACTCGGAGGAAAATCGAAAGAAGATGGGAAAAGGGATACCGCTCAATGACCAGGTAACAATGGCTGTCTGTATCCAACATGCATATTCCACCTGGGTGACACAGGATGAGATCTCTACAGCACTTGGTGCAGTAGAGTTCTTAAGTCCCAAGGTAACCACAGAGGGGCTTTAAAGAGCCAGGTACTCAGTAGATTTTCTACATATGTTAGCTCCAGTCCTGATCAACTCTCTGAACTCGGCCCCAGGAACAATGCCACCCTCCGCCCCAGCCTGAACAGACTCTGCCAAAACACCTTGTTGTGGGATTTTAATCTCTAAGAGGGCAGAGGCTCTCTGTACCTCACACATGGGGAAGTCCTCATTTTCTCTTCCCAGGTGCTATCAGATCTGGCTCTATTTCTTCTGCCTATGACCCTGTAGTGGCTTCCTACTAACCTCAGGATCAAGACCAAACATCTGCACTGCTAAGCATGCACGGTGTGGCCTCCGCACGGCTCCAGGCTCTTTAGGAGCTATGCACCACCCCCAATGTCCACGGGAGCAACCTGGCCTCTTCCAGTCCCTCCCACTGCAACACTTCTCCCACAGGGCCTTTGTCTCCCTGTTCCCTTCTTCCCTGAGCTAGCCCTTCTCATCCTTTGATGTCAGCACCCATGAAGCTTCCTCAGGGAAGTGAAACCTCCATGATGGACTCTCACGGTACCATTTCACTGGGGTTGCGCTTGTCCCTGGGGCAGCTCCACAACTGACAGTCGAGAATTTGATTAATGCTTGTCTCTGCAACTAGACTTTACCCCTAAAAGGGCAGGGACTGTGGCTGTTTGCGTTAACCATTGTACCCCCCCTCCCCCGGGGCCTGGCACACAGTAAACAACAGAAAATAGTTGTGGCATGTTTTTGAGTGAATGAATGGTTGAATAGCACTCTCCTGTGTGCAGGCCATGAGGCCATCCCCTAAAGCAGGCACCCCCAAACTTTTTACACAGGGGGCCAGTTCACTGTCCCTCAGACCGTTGGAGGGCCGCCACATACTGTGCTCCTCTCACTGACCACCAATCAAAGAGGTGCCCCTTCCTGAAGTGCGGCGGGGGAGGAGGCGGATAAATGGCCTCAGGGGGCCGCATGCGGCCCTCTGGCCGTAGTTTGGGGACGCCTGCCCTAAAGTGTCTCACACCAGAGTTACAAACCGTCCTTGCTGGTATAACTGGCTGTAACTCAGGAGAAAGGAGGGCAGGTCAAAGGCTGGGGCCACGAACTAATTGTGTCCAAAGGGCAGGAATGAATGGAACTGGCCACAGACCAACACTGTTGTTTTCACTTTCAGTGGGGCTGGGCTCACCCCCAGGTTTCCCTTCCCTAGGTCACTATCTTTACTTTGTTGTGCCTTGAGCCATTAAACCATTATTAGGTCTATTCTAGAGCCCCCAAAGAGTGCGCTTCTCTTCGTTACCGGGGGTGCAGCTTGAGTTTGCAGTGGTTCAGGCCTTGAATCATCACAGGTGTGCAACATTTGATTTTAGAAGATAGGGCAAAAGATCTATAAAAGAGAGTAATAATTTAAACATAATGTTGATATTAAACTAGAGTTAATAAACATAGGCACCTGGTTCCACCACCAGGCTTGTATGACCTGACAAAGAGCTTAGTCTCTTCCTGTGAAGTAGGAATGGTAATGGGATCTATTTGATTGAATTCTTGGGATTATTAAATGAGATAATACAAAACATGTGCACAGAAAAGTTACCTATAGCATTCAATAAGTATCACGTTTTCAAATTATTGCTAACACACACACAACATAAATTATAGATACACACCAATGATATAAACCATTTCTAAGGGAGTGCATAAAATGTGACTGTGCCAGTGTTATTTAGGTTTCTCTTTGGTGACTGCAAATAAAAAGTAAGTTAAATAACAAAGCAACCAAAATTGATAGATTTTAAAATGCAATTTCTATAGTCTCCCCTTCACATGTGATGCTTGTTATGTGGGCTGTATGGACTGGGGGATGGAATTCAGAAGAGAAATTTATGCACAGGAGAAAAGATTACTGGAAGAAACACAAGTTACTTACTATATTTTTTCAAAAACAAAAAACAAACCAGGCTAGTCAGACCTTAGAGAGAACCAAAACAGAGAGAGGTAGAAAGACAGATGGTTTACATTCTTAAGAGACACAACGACAGATGATTTTCTTTCTTGATGAGAATCCAACAAGTCTAAGACTGAAGATATGGGTCACAGCTGGGCTGGCGCCAGCACAGCTCCTGGTTGCCCTGGTAACCAGCCTCCACCCTCCTCACACTGCACCCATGCTACCGAGGTAAGGAAAGCCCCCTGTGGATGGATCAAAGCATGTCCTTGTCCAAGGCAGAGGCCCTAGTTCTCCCTTGAGGAAGTGTAGGGAGGATGTGGGGAGCGTTTTGTGTTCAGAGGGCTCAGGGCTGCAGTCTGAGTAGAACGTGTTAAGGGCTCCTTAAGACTATTTAAGTGTAAATTAATTAGGCCAGGCTCAGTGGCTCAAACCTATAATCCCAGCGCTCCAGAAGGCAGAGGCTGGAGGCCAGGAGCTTGAGACCAGCCTGGGCAACAGAGCAAGTCCCTGTGTCTATAAAAATTTTTTTAAAAAGGCCAGGCACAGTGGCTCATACCCGTAATTTCAACACTTTGGTAGGCTGAGGTGGGTGGATCACGAGGTCAGGAGATCAAGACCATCCTGGCCAACATGGTGAATCCCCATCTCTACTAAATATACAAACTTGAGCTGGGCATCGGGGCATGTGCCTGTAATCCCAGCTACTCAGAAGGCTGAGGCAGGAGAATCACTTGAACCAAGGGAGTCGGAGATTGCAGTGAACTGAAGTCACTCCACTGGCAACGGAAAGACACTCTGGCAACAGAAAGAGACTCTGTCTAAAAAGAAAAAAAAAAAAAAAAGCCAGCAGTGCATGCCTGTAATCCCAGCAACTCAGGGGCCTGAGGTGGGAGGATGGCTTAAGCCCAAGAGTTCCAGGCTGCAGTGACCTATGATTATACCACTGCACTCTAGCCTGGGGAACAGAGTGAGACACTCTCTGAAAAGTATATGCAAATTAATTAAAATAGATAAAATGTAAAATCCAGTTCCTAGGTTGTACCAGCCACATTTTGAAAGCTCAGTAGTGTGAGTGGCTAGTGACTGCTTTATGGGGTAGTACAGCTATAGAACAACATTGCAGACATCATCACTGTGTTGGACAGTGCCAGCCTAGAAACATTCTACCCAAGCTGTGATAAATTGTTAGCATCATGATGATATCAGTAATAAAGAATTTCTTTTTTTTTTTTTTTTTTTTTTTTTTTTGAGACGGAGTTTCGCTCTTGTTACCCAGACTGGAGTGCAATGGCACGATCTCGGCTCACCGCAACCTCCGCCTCCTGGGTTCAGGCAATTCTCCTGCCTCAACCTCCTGAGTAGCTGGGATTACAGGCACGTGCCACCACGCCCAGCTAATTTTTTTGTATCTTTAGTAGAGACGGGGTTTCACCATGTTGACCAGGATGGTCTCGATCTCTTGACCTCGTGATCCACCCGCCTCGGCCTCCCAAAGTGCTGGGATTACAGGCTTGAGCCACCACGCCCGGCAATAAAGAATTTCAAAGCTACCAGTCAGTGAGTCTCCCCTAGGCACCAGGCCCACAGTGTCCTATCTGAGCCTGCAGTGGCACCTGAGTAGATTTCAACTTCAAAGTCTATTTTTAAAAGGGGGCTTTTTGGGGAGAAAAAAAAATTGATTGTAATTATAATATTTGCCTTGTATAGAAAATTTGGAAAGTGCTAAAAAGAAATTTCACAAAATATAACATTCTTGGTGTCATCTTCCAAAAATATGTACAGATTGAATTTTGGCCACCTTCTTTCTTTTTCCTTCTTTCTTCTCCTCCTTCCTTCCTCTTCTTCCTTTCCTTTTCTTCCCTTCTTTCTTCTTCCTTTTTTCTTCTTCCTCTTCTTCTTTCTTCTTCTTCTTTCTTTTTTCTTCTTCCAGGGGTCAGTATATAACAGTCTATATACTTAACTTTTGCATCAGGTAAAACACACCCATGTCCCCTTCATTCTCACTCTCCCTCCTTCCTTCCCATCTCTCTCCTCCCATATTCTACCATTATCTGTTTTCCTTTTACCCATCATCCCCTTCCAAAAGACACTTAATTTCTTGAAATGTTTCCATAGGCCAAGAAAGCTTTCCCTAGCCTCTTGACATTCTGATTTAACTCTTGGTAGAGCATTCATTGTGCTCACCTCTGAGCACTGGGCTGCGAGTTGGGAGCCATCCTTGCATGTAGGGACTCTCTAGAGCAGGGATGTCCAGTTGTTTGGCCGGGCCACATTGGAAGAAGAATTGTTTTGGGCCACACATACCACGCATAAAATACACTAACACTAACGATAGCTGATGAGCTTAAAAAAAAAAATCACACAAAAAAAAATCTCATAATGTTTTAAGAAAGTTTACAAGTTTACAGTGGGCCACATTCAAAACTGCCATAGGGCCTGTGGGCTATGGGTTGTACAAGCTTGATCTAGAGTGTGAAAACCTTGAACATCAGAGCCATTGGCAGAGATGCTAATTTGGATTCTCTCTTCTCTTTTCCCTTAGACTTTTGTGTGTGCGTTTGATTTTCATAATTTATTCTATTGTCCACGGTAAATTGAAGGCACAGAGCTCAATGAATTTGCTCTAATATCTCCTTCTTCCAATTTCTTCACTGTGAAGAGATCTCAATTGCCTCTTTCTTCATTATGAACATAAAATTTGGAGCTCATGTGTCTAGGTCCTTCCGTACAATAAAGTCCACACTCCTTAGCAGGCCAGTCAAGGCCTTGAGCATTTAGTCCTGACAGTGTCTCCTGTCCGCCCTCAAATACCACCTTCTTTTCCAAGTCCTTAGGAAAGCACCTTGCTGTGGCCCTCATTCTCTCTAAGAAGATAAATCCTTTGACTCATAGCTTTATAAAGTTGACATAATTTCTATGATTTGAAGGCAGTTGCCTCCATTTTCATGTAAAAC